ACACACAAGATCCTACAGTTTCTCAGTTCTATTTAACGACTGTTCTACCGTGGCGACGTATTAGCAACTTATCCGATCACCCTGCTAAATATTGATAGCCTGTAACGTACATTCCATATCTGTTGTACAATAGTCACGTCACGTTCCCCTGAACAAAAGGTCGCATCATTTGTCGTCCTAAATCTGATGGAATATGTAGTACAGTGTGCTATCTTTTTTCCCCCGACAATGCACTCTCATTGTTCAGATTGACCCTAATCTTGACTAGTGGGGAAAATGTTGAGGGGGTTCTTTTTGCAACATCTGTTTACTCAACAAAAGATCTGGACACACCTTTGGTAAAACTCTGATGATTGGCGAAATTCTGCCTCCTTGCGTCAGATATATGTAAATATGTCTCCAGTTTTCAAACAAACAAACACACAAAAAACAAACAAACAAACAAACACAAACAGACAGACAAGCAGACAAACAAACAAACAAACAAACAAACAAACAAACAATCGAAAACGCACTTACTTCATACAACACCTCCTTCACTACTGAAGAAAAGTCAATTTAAAAAAAATCCAACTCACTCATTACTACCAACGCCTTCACTATGTGGCTCCGGTGGCCTAGTGGTTACGCTCGCGAACTCGCAACCGGGAGATCGTGGATTCAAATCTCTTCCGGAGCCTGACGTTATGTCCTTAGGAAAAGGTACTTTAAAGGAATTTTCCTAACTTCACCCAGGTGGAAATGGGTACCCAGCTATAGACAGTGAAAGGATCTTATCAGATTGTTAGTGTTTTAGATAAGAAAAAGATAAGGTACATCTTTATTGTCCAGATCCTGACACACTGGTTTGTTGATTCATCACACACACACACACACACACACACACACACACACACACACACACACACACTTACTTCACTCACACATCCTCTCTTCTACACACATCTGTCTACATAACCATAATAGTACAATAGTATGCTTGCGCTCACAGACAGGCTCACTGTCACATGTATAATAATAATGATATAAATGAACAGTAATTATAAGCATTAATAGTGTTAAGCTAACTACGTACTCAGTATTCTGATTGTAACTCACTGGTATTCTGATATCACATGCTTTAAATAGGTACCACAAGCGAAAATGTTTTTGAACAATATTGACGTTTAAACCCCAGGGGTTCAAATCTACTCTATGAAACAAGAACATTAA